TCTCAAAGCAAGTTCTAGAGCAGCAAACACATAAGATCACACACATGAAAAAAAATACGAGTGTATGAAAAATGCACACACTATATTTAGGCACAAAAGCTCACATGGGTGCGGGTTTTACTCAAGTTAAACATGTTCAACTCATTAACATTGATATATTATCAACAAGAGGCTATTGTCCACAACAGAGTCAAACATATCATGCTAGGATCATGTTATCAAGTGAACAAGGCTAGAACTCATATGAAATCATACTTTTCCATTTTTCCTCATACATTTATTTATTTATTTATTATTTATTTATTTTATTTATTTTTATTTTTATTTTTTAACAAGAAGAAAGACAAAAAATGCAGTATTTATGCTATATGAACATGCAAGCATACATTAATGAAAACATTTGCAAAGAGAGAGCTTAGTCAATATAAACAACTTGAAGGTGGAGATAAATTGACAAGTACACCACTTTGATTCTCTTTTCTTCTCCAAACTTGTCTCACTTTTGGAACTACCATACTTGGAACAGATATAATTCTTGCAATCCGATTAATCTCTTTCAAATAAGTCACAAATTGTTCCTTAAGATTTTCTTTTTCAAAGTTCCTTGAAACTTTTTCTTGATAAGAATTTTTCTTTCTAAACTTATTGCACTTAGGCCGGATGTGACCAGGAATCCCACAAAGATGACATATAGGAATGAACTTCCTAGATTGTTTGTTTCTTAAGATTAATTGAAGTCTTGACATGATTAACACATGTGCAAAGTTTGTAGATGTTTCGGGAGTAAGACCTAAACATTTATCGTCACCTACTTTCAAACTAGGAATATTAGAGGCTTTGACAAATCTGGTGACAGAAGAGGAACTTGTAGTCTTTGTAGACTCGAATCCTAGACCTCATTTGTCTCCAAAACTTTTTCCATAGCTAAGCATCTTGTCAATTTTCCCCGAACCTATGCTCAACTCCTAAACTTTTCTTCTCATCTCAACCACTTCGTCCTCAAGAGCTTTCTTATCAGACGAGAGAGTGTTAATTGTGGTTTGTAGAATGTGAATCTTCTCTAACAGCGACTCTCGCAGTTTCTCTCCATTGTCCAACTGAGATGGATGCTCAACTTCAACTTCTTTCTTTTCACTTTCAACAAATGCAAGTTTCTTCTTCAAGTTAGAGTTATCATTTTTTACTTGCACACTGATGTCATAGAGATCAGAATATTTTCTCAAGACTTTTTCCAAGTCAGGTTCTTCAACAAATGAACCTTCTGTGTCATATCCATCAACAGTTCCTATAAACGCAATCGTATCCTTCTCAGATTCCGACGTAGATGCATCCCTTGAATCACTATCACTCCAAGTGACCTTCATTGCCCTATTCTTCTTCTCTTTTCTCTTAATAGTATTTGCACACTCAGAAGCAATGTGTCCATAGCCTTGACACTCATGACACTGAACCATATTGTTAGAACTCCTATGTTCACTAGTTCTAGATGATCTAGAGGCTTTGTCATGTAAGACATCTAGAGAACGAAAGTTTTTTTGAGTTCGAACCTGAGTTGGTTCGTTGCTCACGACCTTTGGAATTTTGAGACTTGAGAAACCTTCTAATTTGCATGGTTAATTCAACCAATTCATCTTCGGACAAGTCTTCAATTGAGCCATCACTTTCTTCTTCTTTGACAGCTTTGAGAGCAATGATTTTCATCTTCTTGGAATCAGGAAGCTCTAACTCATACGTTTGCAGAGACCCAATCAATTGCTCAAGCTTGTAGGTGTTTAGATCTTTCGATTCCTCAATCGCCGTCCTCTTAGCATGAAACCTCATAGGAAGTGATCTTAAGATCTTTTTCACAATCCTATGCTCAAGAATACTGTCACCAAGATTGTGACAGCCATTAACAATTACGCTAAGCTTAGCATAAAAGTCAGAGAAACTTTCATCATCAGACATTGTGATATTTTCGAATTTTGTGATGAGATGTTGAAGTTTGGATTCTTTAACAGTTGAGTTACCCTCATGAGTAACTTCAAGAATGTCCCAAGCTTCTTTTGCCGTTGTACACTTACTTATGTAATTGAATTGTTCAGGCGAAACGGCTGTGAATAAAGCATTCAAAGCCCTTTGGTTAAAAGTGCTAGAGCTACGCTCATCATTGCTCCATTCTTTCCTAGGCTTAAGCTTAGATATAGACACAGAGGACTCTCCTTTACCTTTGGTTTCTTCAATCGTCGGAGGTTCCCAACCTTCTTCAACAGCAAGCCACACCTTGTCATCTTGTACCCACAAAAACGATTTCATTTTCGCCTTCCACGCAGCATAGTTGTCACCATCAAAATGTGGTGGATGAGAAACTGAACCCATAGTACGATTCATCCTAGACTACCCACGGATCTCACTAGGTATTTTTAGTGACCTGCTCTGATACCAATTGAAAGTTCTAGGATGGGTACTAGTTTAACCTAGAGGGTGTGAATAGGTTCCAATTTAAAAATCCAATTCAATTTTCAATTTAATTTTCAGTTCTCAAATTAAATCCACATTCACATCACATATCAAACTATCATACTCATATGCAATTAAAACGATAAATAAAAAGTGCACACATGACGTAGGATTTAACAAGGCAAAACCCACCACTAGGAAAATCCTCGGGCTCCCAAGTCAGGACAAACACTAAGAGAAATAAGTACATAAATACTTACAAAACTCATCAACTAGACCCGCATACTAGTAGGCAGTTTTGTCTCCGCGCTTTGCTGCTCGATCTTTCTTCAGCCTTCGAATTGAAGTGGCACGACACTAACGCGATCGTCAATCACCTTTTCCTTGAACTTTGCAAGATACTAACTCGATCATGCATAATGATTATATGATGAAGTGTTTATTTGAAAAACAATCAATTACGAAAATCACAAGGCACATTTTCATAATTGACAATCAATTAAAACCTTAAATGAAAACAGCATGAAAATAATTTTTTTTTCTCTTTAAAAACGCATGTTGTTGAAACCACAAGATGGCAGCAATAAGAAAACAATTCGTTCTGCTCAAAAACCAACGCCACTGCCTTTTGATGTTTTTAACTAAGAAACCCAATTTCATGCATATGCGGCAGCAGCATGGACAACCCTAAACTGATCTAGTGCATGCGGCAAACATAAAAACATATTTTGATGCACTCTATTAATCTAGCGGCAGCACACTCAAAACCCTAATGTAATCTCATATATATATAAGTTGCAGTAGGAGACTTCAACATGACTTAAAACTCTAAATAGATAAGATCAAGATAAAAACAAAACCATTTGAATTTATCCTCATTTTAAATGCATAGCATCTGACTCCAAATAAATCTTATATTAATAAGCAGGCCTTTAATTAAGCTAAACGAACTCATAACAAATTAATTAATATGTAAAGCCCATATCTCAATTGTTAAACTTCAAAGCTAAACAGCCCATTGAACAAAAACTTATATCATGTGAATGCATATACATGTCAAACTTACTTGAGCGGATGTCTCTGAAACGCTTGCCATTTTGTGATCGAGAGCACGTGAGACAAACTTAGACTAAAATAATTACAATTGAAAACAAGCACTAGTATAATATTACAGACTCATGCGTTTTGTTTAGGAACTGGCAATTTTACTCTAACAGAGCATGTTTTCCAATTCACAACTCCCTGAGTTTTTTTTAGGAGAGGCTATAAGAACAGCTAATTACATACTAAACCGTGTACCAAGTAAAGCTGTCTGTTTAACTCCTTTTGAACTTTGGACATGAAGGAAGCCCAGTTTTTCACATTTCCATACCTGGGGTTGTCGATGTGAAGCTCGTTTATACAATCCTCATGAGAAGAAATTGGATATGAGGACTACAAGTTGTTACTTTGTAGGGTATCCTAAGAAATCCAATGGTTATCGTTTTTAAAATGCACACACTCGTTTGGCAGAGAGCAACAATGCCAAGTTCATTGAAGATGGTGGAGCTTTGTACTCACATTCGGGGAATAGTTATGTGTTTGAACAAATGGAAGAGAATAATTAGTCATCAACAAATGGTTTAGGTGTTCTAACCTTGCCAATAACTATTCAATCAAATAGTGCACTGTCACAGGTCCGTGGGCAATTTACTCCAATGCATGAGCACCAAGATGTCGTTCACGACACTGAAGAAATGTTGATCCCTCAAGCAACTTCAAGTCAACATGCAGTAACACCAATACCAAGTGGACATGCAGAATCATCTAATCCAATAACACTGATGCAAGCAGCTGTTCCTCTTAGGAAATCACAAAGAACCAAAAAATCAGCATTATCAAATGATTACATGACCTATTTGAATGAAGTAGAGTATGATTTTGGTGATGTTGATGATCCCACCACATATAATGCAGCCATAGAAAGTCCACAAGCCTCCTTATGGCATGCTGCCATGCAAGATGAGTTGAATTAAATGAAAGCAAATGGTGTCTGGAGCTTAGTTGAAGGAATAAATGATATGAAGCCAATAGGGAACAAATGGGTATTTAGGACCAAAAGAGACAACAATGGGAATATTGAATGGCATAAGGCTAGGTTGGTGGCTAAAGGTTTTACACTGATGATGGGATCTTTGAATGGCTTGATAAGAAAAAACGAAGGTCAGTTGTTTTTGTATCGTTTGGAAGTGAGTATAAGTTGAGTAAGGAGCAAGTCTTTGAGATAGCTCATGGGCTGGAGCTATCAGAACTCCTTTTTCTTTGGGCACTCAGAAAACCCAATTGGGCAAAAAGTGAAGTTGATGCTCTGCCTCTAGGGTTTGTTGACCATACATCAGAGAAGGGGCTTGTTTGCTTCGGATGGGTGCCCCAAATGGAAATCTTGGCACACCCTTCATTTGGGGGTTCTTTGTTTCACTCTCGATGGGGATCAATAATTGAGACTCTGCAATTTGGGCATGTTCTTGTTGTGCTACCATTCATTATTGATCAGCCTCTGCATGCAAGGTTGTTGGAGGATAAATTTAAACTTTAAATAAATAAACCAAAGTGCACAACGTTATTGGACGGCACACCTTTTTATCACCACTTTAGCTAGGACATAAGGACTACATTAAAAACACATAAAAACTGCACTTTCTTCACGAATTTTAGAAACCATTGGAGATTATTAGCCACCTCCCATAAAATGGAGATTTAAGACGTTCTCTTTGTACAATTATTCTTGAGAAAGTTGACAAATTGGCCAATGTAGTGGTCTTGGTGCAGCTTGTGATCACCAAAAACAGCTGCAGCTTTCCTTGCATTGGATCTCAGCTTCTCTCCTTCCTCTTCCACCATTGCATGCCTCAGTTTTTTGGATATCTCATCTCTACTAAATGACCCATCTCGGCTGCGTTTCACTTCGACAGCCAGACCCCTGTCCTCCAAAAGCCTTGCATTCAGTGGCTGATCAAAGACCATTGGTAGAGCAACAAGAACATGCCCAAATTGAAGAGTCTCAATTATAGATCCCCATCCAGAGTGAAACAAAGAACCCCCAATTGATGGGTGTGCCAAGATTTCCATTTGGGGCACCCACCCCAAGCAAACAAGCCATTTCTCTGATGTACGGTCAACAAACCCTACAGGCAGGGCATCAACATCATTATTTGCCCAACTGGGTTTTCTGAGTGCCCAAAGAAAGGGGAGTTCTGATAGCTCCAGCCCATAGGCTATCTCAAAGACTTGCTCTTTACTCAACTTACACTCACTCCCAAACCCTACAAACACTACTGACCTGGTTTCGTGCTTATCAAGCCATTTAAAGATCCCATCATCAGTGGAAATTTCCCCTTTTGCCCTTCTTGTTGGTTTCTCAGGAGGAAGCTGTTGGAGCAATATTAGAAAATATGAAAAATAGCAATATAATTCCATTGATAATAATTATAAAGAAATTTCACAACATCAATTATATATGAGATTAATATAAACAACTAGAGATAAAGTTAGAAAAACTGACAAACTTGAAGATTGAGGCTTGCATAAATGCAATGTCCTAAAGATAGAATTTCGCCCCTACTCTTGTGCTTGTAGTTCAATAGGCGTCCATCTCCCAGGATTCAACAATCTATAATCCGAAGTCAAAGCACTTCAATCTTTGGACTCTGGCGAACTTTATATATTCCGTACTTTCAAGACACGACTCGGAATTTGACACACGAATCATTTGAGAAACAAAGTGGGGAAATCCTATTTCTCAAGAGTAAAAATTAACTTTAATTTTCTATCTCTAATACTAATGGTTTCATGGGTTTATATAGAATCCAACTTCTACTTATTAAAGAGATGTAACTTTTCATCTATAAGTATACATCACTTATCAAGTAGCACCTAAACAACATAACCTTTCTAAGAAATTGGTTAACACTATTTTTCATTCAATTATTAAAATTATATATTACAATATTTTATACTATAATATATAATTTCCAACAATCCCCCACATGAATGAAAAATCAGGAAGAATTTGAGAGTACAGGCGGACAAGAGATGTATCGGGAAATGTGTCTTTTGGACTTGAACCTACCCTAGTGAATACTTATCGGATTTACTTGGTGAAGCAGTGAATATAAAATCTTGAACTGTTCACCGCAGTAGTAAACTGAGACAATAAGCAACACACATCACTAATCCTAATATATTCCGGTTCATACGGTTGTGTTCATTTTGGTCCTGAACAAATCCCGGATTTATGAGAGCTTTAAAGAATTTAGCCATCTCATTCTCATAGAAGCGACCCACTTCTACTCTCACATAGGTGACCACTGATTAAGAATAGTCTGCTCTATTCCTCTTTATTTATAAGATATCATTGTCATTAAGTATAAATATACAACCTAAAACTTCTGCAGACAACACACTTCTTCCACCATAGGAATGAGGTATATAGTGTGTTAACTTCTTTGAATCATGCCCAACCAGTTTGCCTATTGAACTTAGACCATGGGATCTCCAATAAACTAAGTTAGGTTTCCGCTCGGCTGATTCATTAGTTATGTTGGCTTGAGCCTCATTCCCCTCGATGATCAACTTACTCTCTAGTCTAACCTTTAATAATTGGATCCACTACTATGTTGACTATTTTTAATGGTGTGCACAATCCATCTTATGAAATTGTATTTCATATGAGAGTAGTTGTTTGACATTCTTTGAAATGTCAAGTCCTTAAATTAGATTAGGACTTAATTACTATGTAATTTGCTAACACTTGGGCAAACTCTCCCACATTTAAGGTATTTGTAAGAAGGTCTCTAACCTTGCCATACCTTAAACAAGTTATCCATAATAAGAGATATTGCTTATTATCTCTTTTAAATGCAAATTACTCTTCCTAATTTAGACATTGTTCTTTGCCTTATTTGACAAGCCATCATAATACATGCATTATCATTCATATGCTGACTTAATAAACATCATCAGGTATAATACATTTTTCCAAATATCCCACATTTTAGTGTCTAGTCTTTTCTTTTCTCAAAGACCACCACACTTCCAATGTATTATTCCTCTCACATTGAGTGTCTAGTCTTTTCCTTTTCATAAGACCCCCACACTTCCAGTGTATAATTCCTTTCAAAGGAATTTCCTTTGGTTTCATCCATGACTAAAATGGGCACGGCAAGATTCCTTTTAGGATACCTATCATAAAACTGATCGTCTTCTTTTGCTAGTACTTGTATTAGTCTCACTTTCTTTGCCATTCTAACACCACTCTAATTAGTAATTACTAGCAACGCTAGTGTCTAGTGCCAATTATTAGTCTGAAAACTGCTTCTCTATAGACTAATAACACAATTTTGCAAATAGTTGCAACGGCTTGTAAAAATAATCACACCAGCACCTTCTTGTGTGGTTTTCTGCATGTGTTTTCACAGCTTCTTTCAAACTGCACATTCATGATATTTCCTCATAAGTATGTAAAAATTCATGGTCATTTCAATTTAGAATCAAGCAACCATTACGTTCCCTTTGGTAGAAAAATCAAAGGTCTAATTTGTATTGAATCATGTCTGCAATCCAGATTTCAATATGGGATAACCATATTCATCGCACCATTCCAACTCCATCCCGTTAGCATTTCAAACTAATTGAATGATGCTACTCAACCGGTACCATTCGGTTACAATCTAAAAAGGTAACCAAAATCATAACCACGCCAAATATGAAATTTAGATGGATTTCCATGACATGCCTCACATAAGTAAAATCTTACTTGTAAGGATATGCATGTGCCTATGCGGTGTCAATGAACATTCATACATTTTCATCCATCTATTTAGCAAACATAACCGTTTGGTATGGAATTCTGTTTTCCAGAACTTTTTAATGTCCAAAACACCCACACAATTCCCATACAAACTGCTAACACCTTTTCGTCAAGTGTTGCATTTGCCCAGAAATTTTTACTTTTTAATTTTTGTCTTTTCAAAGAAACAGGCGATTACAAAAATGGTCATGCCTTTCCAGCATATTTTTCTTCCGCCAAGTAATGCATATGTAGAGATATATTTTCACATCATCTACAATCATACCAATTCCTATGGGCCTTGACACAAGGATACCAGTCCAATGACTGATCGTCAGTATATACAAATATGTACTTTTTCATGAACAGGTATGAGTTCCAAACTCTGCATGAACCAAGTTCATGAATAACCGTGCTATTGGGAAGTTATCTACATGCTTTAAGTATAATTGAGTGGCTTAATTCCATCTAGATATTGACACTAGTTGAATAAAAATTGCCCCATATATATAAAGTTCTAAAACTAATCACTGAAACATAGTATAAATTAACATATATGCTATAAATTACCACAAAACAACCAATGTGCATGGTTCAGTCTAGTAGTTCCTCAAACGGTGTACAACTAGTATGCATATCCTGGGTTTAAAGTATTTAATAATGTATCGACACATACATATATCAATCATATGTAAAACACATAAACCAATTGCGTGACTAGTGAGTATAAGCAGATGCAAGAAACCACCCATCATATTTCAATAAACTGATAATATATATATGAATATCCACCCGAGCATCATCATGATTTCTCACTTTTCTTTCTCTGTATTCAAAGCCAGCGACAATTCTCTCCATATTAGAGAAATGTTTCTTTCCTCCAAATGATGGCAAATGATGGCTAGACTCATTGAACATATTATGATGTAAGTCTTTCTACATTATGAGATTAATTTCTCACTTCTCACATCCATATCTTCTAATTGTTCCGTAGAGATAAATTTCTATCTTTAGATTGTTGGAGCAATATTAGAAAATATGAAAAATAGCAATATAATTCCATTGATAATAATCATAAAGAAATTTCACAACATCAATTATATATGAGATTAATATAAACAACTAGAGATAAAGTTAGAAAAACTGACAAACTTGAAGATTGAGGCTTACATAAATGCAATGTCCTAAAGATAGAATTTCGCCCCTACTCTTGTGCTTGTAGTTCAATAGGCGTCCATCTCTCAGGATTCAACAATCTATAATCCGAAGTCAAAGCACTTCAATCTTCGGATTCTGGCGAACTTTATATATTCCGTACTCTCAAGACATGACTCGGAATTTGACACACGAATCATTTGAGAAACAAAGTGGGGAAATCCTATTTCTCAAGAGTAAAAATTAACTTTAATTTTCTATCTCTAATACCAATGGTTTCATGGGTTTATATAGAATCCAACTTCTACTTATTAAAGAGATGTAACTTTTTATCTATAAGTATACATCACTTATCAAGTATCACCTAAACAACATAACCTTTCTAAGAAATTGGTTAACACTATTTTTCATTCAATTATTAAAATTATATATTACAATATTTTATACTATAATATATAATTTCCAACAGAAGCAGACCTGTGGACATCACTGGCTTTCCAGTAAGTTTCTTGTAAACCTCCAAGTATTCTCCTTCAACCTCGTCGCAAGAACGAATGGCTAAAACTTGACTTCCGGAAACAATCTTGGCAAGTCTTGCAGAATCACTTATCCCACTTCCATTCGCTCCAAAAAAGCCTCGAGGCACATAAAACGCTTCAAACTCTCGAAACGCCACCGTTGAAGCAAACGCAACCCAATCCGGTGGCGATGTTAAGCTTTCCGGTGTTGGGAGAGCATGGTTTCTGTTTGCACCCAAGAGATTTTCTGGTCCGCCAAAGAAGGCACTGCCAGCCATACAGAAAGGAGAAAAATAGCCAACTGGAATACCATACTCTTTGGCGATGTCGACCACCCAATGAGCTGCATAGTCAGATATAATCCAATCAGGCAGCTGCTCCCCAATGAACTGCTTAATGGGTTCCTGCAGCAGATCATATGCAATCTTCAAGTTGTCTGTTTTTTCAAAGGGTACATCCACTGTGGCCTCAGCTCCTTCAGGCAAGAAGCCGGGATCCAATGGAGGAAATGGAATGGGGACTAAATGTATAAAGGATCGTAAATCCGTTGAGAATTTTGGGAGCTTTTGGATGTTTTTTGGCGTGGATATGAGGGAGACATGAACTTTAGCTTTTGCCAAGGCTACGGAAAGTTGGAAATACGGGATAATGTGGCCAAAGGAAGACCATGGAAGCATCACAACTCTAAGATCTTTTGCCATGATTAGGGGTTTTTTCTGTTGGATGGAATTTTCTGTGAGAGGTTTTTTTCATCTAATATATATAGTAAAAATGTTTAGTCTTGATGTTGGAAAGCTCACCTATATTTTAAGAGTGGTTGTGTAAAATGAGTTGTAATATTAAACTTCCACCTATAAAATTAAAGCGTAACATTGTTATGTTCGAATATTTTTTCATACACATTTGTTGGGACTACGTCATAATGTATTTCAATGATCCAATCGTTTAATTTTTAGATATTTCCTTAAATATCATCTCTTTACATAAAATACCTCAATCTGAAATCATATGACTATTAGATTCAATGGTAGTCATTTCAATTGTTTTTTTTTTTGTAAAGCCATATTCGTTTATTTTTTTACTACAAATGAATGTCATAATATTTTTGAAGTTATGTGTCAAAGGAAGTGACGTGGATGATAAATTTTTATCTCGAGTCTGGACCCCTAATATAGTGGGTGATTTTGAAGCAACTCAACCGCGAGTTTCATTGATCGACAAGGGTAGGTTGGCCGGCTAATATAGTGGGTGATTTTGAAGCATCACAACCGCGAGTTTCATTGATCGACAAGGGTAGGTATGATGTGCGGTGATCTCCTTCTCTGGAGTGGTCCCTCTCGGGCACTAGCAATTACAAGTTTAAAGTCAGATTTGTCTTTGTTAAAGCATCTTCAAAAGATTCTTTCAAACACCTTTAGATTATTTTCAAATAAGATATCAAATCTTAAATGGAATGTCATGTAATTAAATTTGAAAGTAGGTGTTGACCTTAAAAACTACCAAGCATTCGTAACGCGCAGACCTAGTAATTAATAAACTAACTACGTCCTTCATTTGTGTGCGGGGAGTGCCAACTTGTTGGCCGGGGAGTAAAATGTGTTTATGTGGCGTTGAGCACGCTGCTGACTTCTTGGTTTTACGACTGTGGCCGACGCTGCTGACTTCTTGGTCGTAATTACAAGCTTTATAACTTTCATGAAGAGCTTAACTTCAAAATTCGCCACTATAATCATATAAATCATATATCAAAATCTAACCATTGATTGTTGTTTACATTTACGCTTCATTGTTCTCATCAATTTTTTTTTTCTTCAGATTTTCTTTTTGGAAAACATGATCTATTAGAAGATGCAGGAAGATGAACGATTTGGATCGTTAATATTATATGCAGAGTTTTACGGTTAGTGAAAATATTGCTTGATGTTTATAAAGCTTTTACATACTATATGACATCGACTCATATTTCAGTTAATTGTAAATTTCAAAATGTGATATCAAAGATCTGAACCATTCATCTTCTTACATCCGCCAGATGATCATGTTTGCAAAAAAGAAAATTTTAAAAATGAAATTCAGTAAGAAGAATAACGCGTAAATGACAATCGACGGTTAAATATAAATTTAAGGTGTAGGGATTATAGTGTTGGATTTCGAAGCTGACCCCTTCATGAAAGTTGTAAAGCTTGTCACTATAAGTGATTGTATATTTTTTTTTACATTTTTTACACTTCTACAATAATTTTTATTAATTTTATTAATTTTGCCCTCAAATAAAAAAGTATTATTCATGAGGGTTTGGAGGATTTTAAAATCTAAACGATAATGTAAGTGTTACCATTATCTACTCGTGGAGGAATAATGATGAATCACGAGTGTTTATATGTTCTTTCACATTTTTCATACTTGTATGTATGTCTTCTTTGTTATTGCCGATACAAATACTATACTAGTTTATTTTAATTTTGGACAACAACATGTTAAGTAAAATTTATTCTAGTAATGATAATAAGGAAATCTCATAATAAAAATAAATAATGACTAATTTTTTTTAAATTAAATAGAATAATAATACAAAACTATATATTTAATATAGAATATATTGTATATATTAATATGGCTATTGTATTTTATAATAAATCTTTTAGTAATTAAACTTTAAAATTATCAAAATAGTTTTTTTCTTAACAGGTCGAAACAGGTTACCCATGTGTTACCCGCGTGTATACCCGTTAAGAACCTGTTATTAACTGGTTCTTAACGGGTCACCCAATAATGACCTGATTAGTTATCGTGTTGACCGAAAACCGGTTATTTTCGTATCGTTTTCGTGCTGTGTCAGAAACTGTCGGGTAGTAGCAAAAATTCCTATTTTTAAGGCCTAATTGACTGTTAAATTAAGAATTTTAGAAAGAAAATTTGAAAATAATAAAAGTGGGCAGGGCAGGCGTATTTAATAAAATGCTAAATAGGCAAAATGGTCCATGAGATTTGCATAACTTATCATTTTGGTCCCTAACATTTCAAATTGATAAAAGTGGTCCCTGAGATTGTTCACCATCCATCATTTTGCTCATTCCGTTAAAAACTACGTTAAGTGTCCCGGAGCTCTTGGCCGGAAGCTTAGGCAATTTTCAAAGCTTCGTAACTCAATCGTTTCTTAACCAAATTTGACCCATAATATATCAAAATGAAGATAGGAAAGTGTAGAATAAGATTATATATATTTGGAAGCCCAATGGCTGCCGGAGATGGCCGAAAAATAGCCTCAAAGTTGACTGGTATGAGAGAAAACTGGAAAACTCACTGGAAACTGGGTAAACTTTAAATGTTCATAACTTCTTCAACACTCAACGAAATCAAGTGATTCAAAAATGAAAATCATACTTCTAAACGAGATGAAGATAATGGTATCTTTGTAGACGGCTAAATCACCGTGGTTTGGCCGGAAAACGGCTTGAAAGTGGCTAACTCGAAACCAAGACAGCCACTTTCAAGTCGTTTTTCAGACAAACCATGGCGATTTAGCCATCGCAAAAGGTACCATTCTCTTCGTCTCATCGAAAAGTATGATTTTTGTTTTTGAATCATTTGATTTTGTTGAGTATTGAAGAAGTTATGAACGTTTAAAATTTACCTAGTTTCCAGCGAGATTTCTAGTTTTCCTTCGAACTAGTCAAATTTGAGGCTATTTTCTGGCTATCTCTAGCAGCCATTGGGCTTCCAAATAGATATAATCTTATTATACACTTTCCTATCTTCATTTTGATATATTATGGGTCGAATTTGGTTAAGAAACAATTAAATTACAAAGCTTTGAAAATTGTCCAAACTTCTGGCCAAGAACTCTGACACTTAACGTAGTTTTTAACGGAATGACCAAAATGATGTATGACAATCTTAGGGACCACTTTTATTGATTTGAAATGTGCGAGACCAAAGTGATAAGTTATGTAAATCTCAAGAATCATTTTAGCTATTTAGCCTTAATAAAATTAGTCCAGCATATATTTATCACCAAAAAAATCACTTGAAAGCTTATAGAAACACATGGGATCACTAATTCATATCCAACATTATTCCAGCATCTCCAATGCCGTGAAAATTTTGGCGCCATTCCAAATTATTAGCTAATATAATTGGGACATCTAAGAACCGGATGACCTTTTTGTAGTGTTGTTTTTAAGAAAGTTGACAAACTTGCCAATGTAGTGGTCTTGGTGCAGCTTGTGATCTCCAAAAACAGTTGCAGCTTTCCTAGCATTGGATCTCAGCCGCTCTCCTTCCTCCTCCACCATCGCGTGCCGGAGTGTTTTGGCTATGTCATCTCTACTAAACGACCCATCTCCGCGTCGTTTCACTTCGACAGCCATACCCTTCTCCTCCAAAAGCCTTGCATTCAGAGGCTGATCAATAATGAATGGTAGCACAACAAGAACATGCCCAAATTGCAGAGTCTCAATTATTGATCCCCATCCAGAGTGAAACAGAGAACCCCCAACCGATGGGTGTGCCAAGATTTCCATTTGGGGCACCCATCCGATGCAAACAAGCCCCTTCTCTGATACACGGTCGACAAACCCTAGAGGCAGAGCATCGGCTTCACTATTCGCCCAATTGGGTTTTCTGAGTGCCCAAAGAAAAGGGAGTTCTGATAGCTCCAGCCCATGAGCTATCTCAAAGACTTGCTCTTTACTCAACTTACACTCACTCCCAAACCCTACAAACACAACTGACCTGGTTTTTTGCTTATCGAGCCATTCAAAGATCCCATCATCAGTGGAAATTTCTCCTTTTACCCCTTTTGCAGGTATCTCAGGAGGAAGCAAACCAGTGGGAATCACAAGCTTCCCAGACCTGTTCTTGTATGCCTCCAAGTACTCTCCTTCAAACTCATAGCAACTCCGAATGGCGAAAACTCGACAAGCTGATAGAATCTTGGCGTGCCTTTCGGCATCACTTATGCCGGAATCATTCACTCCGTAAAGGCCCTCGTGCATATCGACCGCCTCGTGCTCTCGGTATGCGACCGTTGACTGAGAAGTAACCAGATCCGGCGGCGAAGTAAGGCTTTCCGGCGATGGCAGAGTATCATCTGTATTACCACTGGAGGGATTTTCAGCTGAACTAAAAACGACAACTGTAGCAGCAGAGACAACAGTAAAATAGACAAGTGGAACGCCGTACTCTTTGCCAATCTCTACGACCCAATGAGCAGCAAAGTCGGTTATGATCCAATCAGGCAATCGATCCCCAATGAACTGCTTGATGGGTGTTTGCAGGAGGTCGTATGCAATCTTCAAGTTGTCAGTATTTTCAAAGGGGAGGTCCACCGAGGCCTCAGCTCCTTCCGGCAATAAGTCGGGATCCAACGGTGGAAATGGAATGGGGACTAATTGCACAAAGGGTTGCAAATCTGGTAAGATTTTGGGGAGTCTTTGGATGTTTTTTGGTGTGGATATGAAGGAGACATGAACTTTTGCTTTTGCTAAAGCTATTGAAAGTTGGAAAAAAGGCATCATGTGGCCAAAGGCAGACCATGGCAGCATCACAACGCTAAGATGATCATCTTTTTCCATAATTGTATTGTATTCTTTCTGTCGGATGGAATTTGCAATGAGAGAATTAACTTGTAGTTTTGAACCAGATTGTCATTTTATTGGACCAAATGACACGCTGTACCGCTGGCCACGTGTACGGTGTACGGTGTTCCGGCGACAACCAATGCTTAATTGCTTGGTAGCCGTCTCATGTCGGTTTGAATAATCTTTTTATTTTAGATTTTTTTTTAATTTTAAAAAATTCAAAAATTAAAACCTTATTTGATTACTACTTTCAAATAAAAGCTGAACATTACTTTCTTGTTGTGAAAATAATTCTAACAATCGTGTAAATCAGTTGTACATTGTATATATAGGATACTGGAATATCTTTTTTGTATTACTTATAAGGTAAAAAATCGTCTTTAGTTTACTATAAATAAATGCACAAAATATAGAAAATAACACATAAAATTTCTCAAGCGTATTCTTCATCTCTCTTTTTCTGTCTATGCCGCACTGCACCCTCTCTTTCTCTCAAATCAAATAAGTCACAACATTCTCTTTTTTAAAAAGAAATTTCCCTTAGTTTTCACTTTTTAGTTTTCTAGTTTGTATTTTTTGAAACTTGAAAATTAAAAGTAATTACGAAATAAGATTTTAGTTTTTAATTTTGAAAACCGTAAAAACTAATAAACTAAAAACGAAATACTTACCAAACGGCTTCTTGATAATTTCATTGTGTTATAATATATGTATTTAATTATTGACGTTATACTCTAAGTTGGAAAAGTGCCGCCACTATACTCTCATATTATTATATCTAATTAACCCCAAGTGAGGATGTAATATAAACATTCTGCATTAAGAGTGAAAAAAAAACCCTAAAACGTGTTTTATTTGCTACTTAGTTTGGTTTTAGTGAATTTTTTTTCCTTTAGAAATTTATAAAAGTTCCATACAAATTTAGTTAGGAAATAAAAGTAATGGTAGGGAGACTACTTATTTAAATCATATTGATGTATCATCTAATGTGCCAAGTGATACATATACAACTATCACTCAATGAAATAAATTTATTAATTACCGTGGCATGTATACATTACTTATTCAATCAGATGGTATACCAATGTAATACAAATGTGATTTCCTTAGGGGCCGTTCTTCATCTTCAGTTTTCAATTTTTAGCTTTTCATTTCGAATTTCGGTTTTTAGTTTTCACTTTTTTGAAAATTGAAAACTTGTTTGGTAACTGTTTTAAGTTTTAGGTTTTAAAAAAAATATTGAAAACAAACAACGTGAAAACTTAAAGTCAAATTTTGAAGACTAATAAAGTAATTATTAAACAAGATTTCAGTTTTTAACTTAAAAAAAATAAAATTAAAAACCAAATAATTATCAAGAAACACCATAATTGACTGTCTTTTGGACTTGCTAGAAGTTGAATGCAAAAGAACCTCTGTTGTTGATGTGCTTCTTTTCTTAGAGTAACATGTTCTTGATAGTATTATTCTAATCCAAAGGGGGTTAGGTTTCACCATTGGCCACCCCCTCTTTACCCAATTTTTCTTTCCTTTATTCTCCTTTAGGAATTGATTGCTACATTTTTTCTCTCTTTTCTATAGACATGTTTAATTATTACTTTTCAGCGGAATCTGCGGTTATCTTAGGCGAAAAGTCTGTATTTATTTTGATTCTCTTTCGTATGAAAAGCCTTGACCAATTGTAATTTTATGACAATGTGTGGTTAGACTTGTGAAACCCAATTTACGCAACATTCCAATCTCACCACCCATACAATGAATGATGATCCCCAAATAATTTTGTACAACACATAAGAGGTTTAACCTTGGATCAAAGAGTAAAAACGAAAGATTTAACGTTGAGACTCGTGTGTTTAACGAAAAAGTCAGCATGAATTTTCTACATGTAACACATAGCAATGGATACCTCACAATGGATCCTAGTTTTAGCTCTCTTCTCAACTCAAGAGAACCTAGGACAAACTAATGTCACTCATATTTTCATGAAAAACTCTTCTCTGTATCGAAATGCAGTGTTCCAAAATATAATTTTGAGACTATTGAGTGGTCATATCTTTGCACCATGCTCCTTAATTATCTGAGCCGACCGCAGAATAATCTCTTCTTCAGTAGAGTATAACTCTCCTTAGCTCTATAATCGCAGAGGAAACATTGAAGCAGATGCTAAAAGCAATCTGTGTTATAAGAATATTGGACAGAACATGGCTTAACATGTGCTTGAGTTACATCCAAGAGTCAATTCTGCAAATAAACATTCTAATCGAAACAGGAAACAGTGAGGGGCCTCCTTACTGTTTGAGTGTGTATGATTATAGAGTACTTTGATACAGTAAAATTCATATCAAAGTTTTTGTAGTTCTGCATTAAGGTTATTAATGATATCGTGTGTTTAGAATGCCATTGGCCGTGCTTGCAGATCTGTTTTGCTCCCTTCCACTCTTCATCTCGAACCCTGGGTTTTTGGTTATGTGGCATATGCCCATTTTCACAAAAATCAAAGAAGCAAGCTTGATCCATGTGTGGTGCGGTGTGTGTTCTTTGGCTTTGGTCCTCCAGAAAAGGGGTATCAATGTTATCATCCATCTACTCGACATACGTACGTCACCGTGGATGTTACATTGTCTGAAGACGAATTATTTTTTCCTTCCAGCCATACTCCTTAGGGGAAGACAACCTTAATCGACAATTATTGCGGGCTCGATATTGTGAAGATTTCCTCTGCAGAATCTTTTGCTAGCCCAAGTGGGATGCCTAATCAAGACCGTGACAGCAACAGCAACAGCAACCCTGCTGCTCCGAGGGACACCCAAGATGGAATATCAAGAGACAAGCCCAAATGGCCCAGACCGTGACAGCCTAAGTGGACCATGCAATCCATGTGATTGCTCAAACTGTAACAGCCCAAATGGCTCAGACCATGACAGCCCAAGTGGGCCATCCAATCCAAGTGATTTCTCAAACCGTGACAGCCCAAGTGGGTTAGGTAATTGTCCACTTGTTCGACAAATAGAGACTACCAAAATACCTACAAAGTGAAAGAAGCCTTGAAACCGTGGCAAAAATAAATACCATTAGAGTTTTTTTGTCAAAATACCAATAGAGACTACTACAAATTCATTTATTAGTGTCACTATAAAAACCGTCAAGAAATGGGTATTACTGTCGGATATTAAGCAAAATCCGACAGAAAATGGATGCAATGGCGGATATAATAAGCGACAGAATTGTCGGCGTTAGGAAATAAATTTTCTGATAGAAAATACTCTAAAACCGACAGAAATTGTGTCGGATATAACCAACAGATAATTCTCTGTCTGATAAAACCGACAAAAAATACTAAAACCGACAGAACTTGTGTCGGATATAACCGACAGAGAATTTATTAATAATGAATAAATAAAAGCATTCTTGTCGGATAAAACCGACAAAAAATATATTAATAATAAAAAAAAATATACACAACTTTCTAAATTATTTCTTTCTCTTTCAAGTTGAGCCAGAGAGCGAGAGGAGATAGACAGTTGCTTCCTTCCCGCACAACGTGGTTATCAACTTACTTTTGCAATTCATCCTTCCTCTTCCGTATTCTCACCCACCTTTCCCCTTCCAATTCATTCTTCCACATTCTGTAAATATCCACCCACGCACACAGAAATAAGAGAGAAAACAGAGAAGCAGTGGCCACCAACAGAGCCTCTTGCTTTTCTTCACTCTCTTCTGCAATTTTGGGACGAAATTGCTCAAAGGATGATAGAACAACCCTTAAATCAAGCAATGTATCACATCGATGACCAAATTTTCTACCTATTCCTAAACAATCCAACTTCAAAGTTACGGGTTTGGGATCAAATACGCAACTTCTGTTTACCAATGATACGAAACAAACCAAACAATGTGCAGCCAAAGAAAATTAAATTACTTTTTTTAGACCAGGACAAACATCTTCACCTTTGAAAACAACAGAGACATCAACTTTCAGCTCGGAGCCCTCATTCGCCCAAACAAACACCAAATTCAGAATCTTCCCACTCTCCTGGTCCCTATGAATCTACACAATCAAACACCCCAAAATTCAAATCACTCATAAATTTTCAATCTTTATATATATATAAATTATAAATGGATGAAGAAAATGAGAAATTGCCTTGATGGGTATGACATTTTCGGATTCGAGCAAATCCGACGACCCGGACCTGGCTCGGATCTGAAGGGGAAACTGAATGCTTGATTCCGTATTAGTAACTATGTTTTACAATCGTTGTAAAAGTGTGACTAATAAGAAGTAGAAGATATATGAGAGAAGAAAAGATGCTTCATATTCGGAACGTGAATAAAATATAGATCTCTGCGAATGCAGATAATACTTACTTCCTCATATGAACTACCAAAGAAATTGGAAAAACCAAAGATTGTCTTTACATTCCAATTTTAAGGAACTTAATTCTGTCACTATAGTAGAGATGGATGAATGTTTTGTTTGACAAAACATTGTTCTTTATTAATCAATAATTGGATTATAGTAATCTAATTGATTGTCTCTATAGTAAAGATGATATGGTAGTGTTAACTGTTCAGAACATAATGATGCTTAAAACCCAAAAGGTTGCAAGGTAGTGACTAATCCCAACTAAGTTGTGATACCTCTAAAAACATAAATTACGAGTTGGTCATAGATGGATGCTTTGGATCGTTAGATCCAGATCCAATACCTTCTTGTTAAAATTGTATAGGCGAAATGTTCGAATCTTTATTCTTTTGGAAAGAAGAAAGAATCACAAAGTTGTTGAGGTTAATTCACTTAGATGTTAGTGGCACTTGTCCACAACATAATACTACTCATGTTGGATGACATTCACCGAAGATCACTCTCGGTTGGACTATAGTTTATTATGAATAAACACAAGTCCGAATACTTTGCAAAATGTTTCAAAGAATTCAAGAAATGTAAGTTGATGAGTAAGATGTCTAAAGTATTTACCTCCTTAGATTTGATCCAAGGAAAAGTAACACTTTAGATGAGTTTCCTTGAAAG